CATTGGCTCTGGCTTGCTGACTGGCTCTGCGCCCTCTGGCAAGTGTGTGGGTGCTTTGCACTGTGCTATTTTGTGCTGCATTGGCTAAGTCCTACCAAGCTTCAGAAATAGATTTAATTAACATAAATCAAAAGTTGACCATTGGCATAAGAGGAGTGGATGAGGGCCTCTTTTCAGATGGTCCTGGGTTGTGTGTCTTGGCCCAGGCCTAACCACGTATGTCAGATTGATTCATGTACGTTGGATTGCAGATTGTCTGTGACTAATGCTAGGCACAAAATGGTAACTCTTATCCTGCCTACAGCTATATTTCTCAAAAAGGCATTGGCCGGGCTGGAGAGATGGCTCAGAGGTTAAGAGCACTGGCTGCTCTTCCAGAGGTCCTGAGTTCAATTCCCAGCAACCACATGGTGGCTCACAACCATCTGTACTGAGATCTGGTGCCCTGCTCTGGCGTGTGGGCATACATTGAGGCAGAATGTTGTATACATAATAAATAAATAAATCTTAAAAAAAAAAAAGGCATTGGCCATTTATTCTATAGAGGCCTTGGGGGGGGGAAACAATATATATTGTTTTTGTATAGTTGTTGCTATAAAGTTCTTAAGAACCTTAAGAAATATGTTCTGAGCATACCTTCTCTATTGGTAATTAGGCTTTGAACACTGACCTTTGACTTGGCATTGCTAAGACATTTGTAACATCCTGAGTGACAAGAGCATCTTCTTTTCTAATGAAGTAACTTACAGTAGTAGGCTCTAATATACCCCAATGACAGGGGCACTTTGCTGAGTCTATTGGTTGCTGTGATCGAGTGTCTGAGAAAAACATGGGGGAGAAGATGTCTTTTGACTCACAGGTTCAGAGATGACAGTATAGAATGGCAGGAAGAAAAGGGCAGTTCTTGCCTGTCATAAGGGAAACTTCTCTTTGTAACGATCATAAGCCATTATAGAACCCACAAGCAATGAAAACGCAGAATTGGATTGCTCACTCCTAATGGATACATCGACACAGAACTCCTTGTACTTAGGGACAGGGTCCATTGAGGAAGAGGGGATGGAAAGATTGTAAGAGCCATAGGAAGAGAGAGTTTGCTGTGAGATTATGACTCCTGGAAATGTCTGAAGCTACACACATGAAGTCTCACCAACATGGCTGCCTATATGTTGACAACACATAGACTAATACTAATAGACATGCTAACATAAATAGAGGAAGACTCATGAGACCTCAGCCCTAAACAAGTACTTACAGGCAACTAAGGCATATTAAGAACAGGAGAAAGAGTCTTCCTAAGGAAAGAGGAAACCACTTGGCTATTCAAATACCAAATAGTCAACCCCGAAACATATAAATACATGTAGGAAAACACAGACTTAGAAAGTTGTGTTTGTGCATTGAAGAATACATACATGTGAATATCCATAAAGATGTATATATGGATATAAATAGAAACAATAAAGAAAAATATCACAGATTTGAAGAAGAACAAGATACGTAGGAGGATGTGGAGGGAGGAAAGGGAAGGGGGAAGTGATGTGACTATATTATAACCAAAAAACTATAAAATATAAATATGAAAAAATGATTTGGGAACATTCAGGCCCCAATCCTCCCCCATGAAGAAAGTAAAGATGAGTAATGAATGTGTTTAAAACCACAAATGGTTACAGAAGCCCAATATCTTTTAGGATTCTTTTTATCTTGGAGAGCACATATTCCTTTCATAAATTTCACTAAATTCTACTTATATTCTTAAAAGTTGGCCCATTTTAAACTGCATCCCCTATAAGAGAGGAGGGCTTTGGAATTCATTCAAGTGTCAAAACAGAGGCCCCTTATTGGTTCTTTCCCTACCCACACAAATGCCTTCACTGTGAGCCCTTGGAAGCTTTTTCTTTTATATTCTAGGCTCTCTAGAGCCCAAGATTACCACAGTTTGCCCACGGATTTGTGACATAATACAATGACTTTGCAGACCATATGTCATTAGTGTGATTCATGAATAGAGAGGTCCTCCCAAGTCTAAACCCATGGCACTACATCCTTTGTACAGATCATGAAAACTACAACGTGTGAGCTCAGCATGGGCAGCAAGGACCCCCACTGAAACAAAAACATAGCAATGAGATGGACCTCAATCTGAGTGACCTCTTTGTTCCCCAACCCTTGCTAGTTGATAAGTTATTGGAGAACGCCATCCCTCTCTTGAATGCCCTCACTACCTGGGGTTTATAAATGAGCAACAATGGAAATCTTTAGACTTTCTATGTAGCATCAAAACGTCTATCAGTAGAGCCTATCAAAAAGTTGCCTTTGTGTTCCTTAAGCCAAACAACTATGGATGAGATCCAATGGGAACAAATGTAAACCAAGTTCAGGTGACTATTTTATCTCTAGATTCTCTCTCTTGCCAAGAGCTTGTTCCAGTTATGCATTTTTACAGTATCTTGAGCCACTGCCAATCCTTTGGCTATCTAGTCCAGCCAATGATAACAACAATAATGTACCCAAGTTTTCTTCCTTTGGGAGGGGAAAAAAATCCCAGAGGACTCTATTGCTGTAGAAATAGCTGCGATTTAACTTCAACTTACACATTTGTGAACTTACTAAATATGATGCAAAGCCTCTTTTAACCACCTGGAATACAGTGGTAACCATAACACTCATTTCACATCTCAAAATACACAGCACCGGCTCGTGAATAATATGTTCAGTGGAACATTTACTACCCTCACAAGTCAATCACAAGCTATTGGCCTCATAGAGCACCATTATGGCATGTTAGAATTTTAACTAAATTAAACTTAGCACATTTCAGTCAGGCAAACTTTTCCTTAAGAGTCTTGCAGCCATTTTAGACTCGTCTGTTGAGAGTTCTCTGTCTAGGTCTGTACCCCATTTTTTATTGTATTATTTGTTTTTTTGTTTTTTGGTGACAAGTTTCTTGAGTTCTTTGTATATTTTGGAGACCAGCCCTCTGTCTGATGTGGGGTTAGTGAAGATCTGTTCCCATTCTGTAGGCTGCCATTTTATCTCCGAGGAAACAGATGTCACTTTTGTTAATACTGGTAGAAGGTTCAAACCAAGCAAGGTACAGCCCACTTGATTGAATCATCTTAGTCCCACCTGTCAGCTATAATAAAAGCCAAGTCAGTCTCAGTGACTTCATGTCATTCCAGAACTATTTGAAAGCCTGCCAAACCCCTCCCACCCACCAAAAACCCATATTTTGGAGTTATTAAATCTTTTTATATCTTCTCAGTGCAAGAACGGCATTATTAGTTTGGGCATCTAAAGGAAGCTTTGAATGAAAGGACCACATCATACTTCTCCTAAACCTCAATTAATACCTCAGCAAACAGTGGGTTCATCAAAATCAGGCCTTATAACTATGCAGGCCACTCCCTTGCTATCTCCAGTTTCAATGGTATTTGAGTCTACTGCAATTTGGAAAATATTTGAATTCTCCGTTCCAAATAGTATTATCAACTAAGAATAGAAGTTGAACTACAATTTATGTTCTCATTTCTAAAGTACACTATACATGTACCTACCTCTCATCTGTCACTCCCAGAAAAAAATTCAAGGAAGGACTATACCTAGAGAGTCCAAATTCCAGTTTATTAGTAATCTGCTTCACCGTGTCCTTGCAGAAAGTTCTGAGATACGATGTTAGGCTTTATCAGAAGTAAGTCAGCATCTTTAAATTACATGAATTCTGAACTAGACATGCCACACGTTTCTAAATAATTCTGAGATTTGAATGTGAATGAGGCAGCTGTCCCTTCTTTCTGACATTCTTGCACAACACTTACTTATGTTTCAAGGGTTTCATGCTAGAAATGTTCACTCTGAAGGCTTGTTTCTGGGGACAGGATATTTTTGTGTACTCCATATATTATAACATACAGATAATATATTTGTATAATGATATTCCACGTGACCAGACACATTTTTAATATGTCAGGAAAATCAATTGTTTTTGTCCAAGTGATCTGATGGACTTACCATTTTTGGTATGCTAGAATAGCTTAGACAAAGGTACAAACATTTTGGAGAAAGGATGCTCATTCATTTGTACTTTATTAAGGGAAATTCTTCCCAGTTTAAGTGTTAAACTTTGCTCCTTGGAGACAAAACATAACTCAGGAGTTATAACCAGGTGCTGCCTTCAAAGATGAACTAGGTTTGGTTCCCAGCACCCTTTGTGCACAGCTCAAAAATGCTTGTAACTCCAGTGTCAGAGGAAATCATACCTCCTCTCAAAATTCAAGGATACCTGAGCTCATATGCACATACTCCACACATAGACACACATACACACACAATTAAACATAATAAAAATAAATCTTTTAAAGATATCTTATTCTATTACAAGATTATTATAATAGAAAAATTATTACTATTATTGAATATTATAATATTGTTGTATTAAATAACTGCATAGGTCCAAAGCAAGGGAAGAAAGTTCAATAAATGGTAAAAATCCACCCAAAAAATCATATGAAATCTCAAGGAACCCCAATAGCCAAAACAATCTTAGAAAGAAATGGTTTACAATTTTATGGTTCTTGATATAAAACCTTGAACATTTCCTAACTTTAAAAGGTAACTCCAAACTTAATGATAAAGCACTGCACTGCAGGCATAAGGATAGACACAGGACTGGAAAGGTGGATCAGCGTGTAAAGCGCATGCTATGCAAGTGTGAGGTCTGAAGTTGAAATCCACAGAATGCATGTAAAGCCAGGTATGGAGCCCACGTCTACAGTCCCAGAGCTCTTATGGCACGATGGGAGGTCGAGTCAGGAGAACATCCAGAAACTAGGAGGCCAGCTATCTTTGTATATTCACCAATGAATAACAAAGGAATCTTATCTCAAAAAAAAAAAAGGTGTAAGACAAGGACCAACTCCAGAGACTGTCCTCTGGATGACACATACATACGCATACTCACATATATTAACTTTGTGCATGGGCACACACACAAAAAAAAAAAAAAAAAAAAAAAAACATAGAGACCAATGGATTATAGCTTAGAGTTCACAACCAAATCCTCACCTCTACATAGTTGACTAATCACAACCATGATATCACCACCACTGATGGAGACCAGATGCTGCAAGAAGTGATACCAAAAACACTAAGTATCTAACCGTAAAATAATGGAATTGGGCTCATAAGCAAAAATTTAACATGGGAGCCCACATTTTAGTCTCCTAAAGAAATATCTAAGACTAACTATATAATTTCTGAGAATGTAGTTCTGTAGGACGGACAGTCCACAGCACAATGATATAAGCTTTGATCAACATCTAATAAGGACTTTTTTTATTGTGCCACAGTGGGCTGAAAGACATCTGAAGTTGAGTTGGGCAAGACCACAAGCCCTTTCCTCAAAGCCAGGGATGCTTTCTAGGGGTCTTGACCTTGAGAACTCATCTAATCGTAATTACTCTCCAAAGCACCACTTCGAAATAGTATTTACATACAAATTCGGGAAATCCTCTTTACATAAATTCTGGGACTCACAGTCAAGCCGTGACAAATGTAACTCTAAGCTTCATCATAAGATACTAAACTATACCATTATTAGTAGAAAAAGCAAAGGAAACCTGCAATTCCTTAGCTATGGCAATGGATTCTTAATATAACACAGAAGAATAGTGAACAAAAATTGTAAGTTGGACTTCATAAAAGTTACGTGTTTTATGCATTAGATGGCTTAAGGGACTAGAGAGATAGAAAACCCACAGAATGAGAACAATATATTTGCAAGTCATATACAAGAGAGTAATTTAATAGTAAAATACATAAGTCTTACAATTCAACAAAATTTACTAAGAGCCCAATTTTAACTGATTAAAGGATTTGACCAGACATTTCTCCAAAGAAGATATACAAATGACCATTAAGCAAAGGAGAAGTTGTTCCATATTATTGAACATTTAAACAAAAAATCAAAAGATCACTAAAATACCATTTCACATTCACTACAAATGCCTGCAATGTTTTTAAATGAAAAAAGAGTTGTCAATAGAGTGAGGACTGGAACACTTGAGCATCTCTGGAGGGAAAACCTGTAAAATACAGCTGTGTTTGTGGAAACCATTTCAAGGTTTCTAACAAAAGTCAAAGCTAGTGTTAGGGAGTGATCCAGCTAACTCTTTTTACAAAGACCCTGCTTCTTTGTAGAGATCCCACCCACACACGTTCATGTGACCCTGATTACAACGAGGGACAGATAAAACAAAATGAGGAACAGGTGGTTAAATAAAAACTTACAGGGCACATTCACAACAGATCTATTTACGTTAATGAAAGAGCACCACAAGCTTATTGTTGTTGCAATTAAACTAATAAACACAATGAAAACTACACATACAACAGGCAATTATTCAGCAATAGAATGAGTGGGTTTCTGTTTTGGCTTATTTGGGAAAGAATCCCTTAAAGAATAGAGCCAATAGGGTACATATGCAATTGTAAAAGTGGGTTTATTAGATTGTTCTACCCCTCAAATAATAGCTCTCTGAATACTAGAGACACAGATAACCCATTACCTTCTCAATAAAGGAAATAGAAAGTCTCTGTAGAAACAGGACCAATGATGCATATGAGTTTATGTTCCTATACCCTGGCTGGTGAGATTTCCTAGAAAGACTGAGGCTATCTGTGGTCTGCTATCTATGGTTGATGGCAGCAGAACAGACATAATTCACTCAGAAAGAATAGAACTTGCACACACTGTTCATAGATAACCATTACTACTTAGGCTACTACATGCTAATGTTTTACCCTAAAATTTTTTGTGAATTAAAGTACAAAGATACTTTTGCCCTTACTGGTAGATTGTTGATCCCAAATTCCCTGAATTCAGTCTGTCTCAGGTTCTTATCTTAAGATGTATGGATGGCTGCTCTATACTCAAATCAGTGACAGATAAACATAGGAAGTGCAAAAATCTTGTAGGCTAGTGCAGAACAGGATTGGATGGTAGTCATGGGGACGAGAGCCTGCATACCCAGCCTTTCCATATCCTTTGACTCTAGGATCATGCAAACATAGTACTTACTTAAAACTACAAAAATATATAAATTACAATAAGTAATAAAGAGCAAGCTAGCTAAAAAAAAGTCATCAGTTTACATGACCCATATCTGTACATATAAATTATATTGGCACAGAGAACAGGAAAGCTTGAGGAAAGACAAATTCTTTAGAGAAGCTTGAATACAGCAGAGAGAGCCTACAAAGATAACTGTGGGTCAGATGGGAAAGAGCCACTGTGTAGTTATCAGTCAGTCTGAACTATTTCTCTAATGGAGGCAGGTTGATCTGAGCTGTTCTGTTTTAAATTAACAGAATTATTTTAAAAACCTTCATGCATTAGAAAAATAACTGAAACCTGGAGGGAGATGTGGAGAGTAAAAAAAATATGGAGTAGAAAGTTAAAGGTTCCACAAAGAGAGGTAATGGCAGGGAAATCAGTTATGGTCAAAAATGCTGAAGAGAACCAATCTGATAATGATGCTGAAAACAGCGTGCTGTTGAGATGATTATACAAGAGGAAACGAAAGATGACTTTTAGGGTTTCTAGATTGGTTGACGAATAGAAGAGAGTTTGACCTTAATTACAGAAAATTCTAAATGGAACATTATTCAGAGGTTTTGATTGTATAAAATGTGAGTCTATTGAGAGGCAAAGAGAAAGTGTGATGTAATATGGCCTTCAAGTGGAAAGTTATTATGTAAGTGGCAATGACTCTTTCCCTCTTATTTATGAATGACTAAGAAGACATTTTCCAGTAAAAAAAGATCATTTATGCATAAATGAAGGCTTAGCTTAAAGTAAGGCTTAGTTCAAAGTATAAAATTGTAAGGCGTTGGCTACAGAAGCTTGTGAGCTAACTTTTGCAAACTCCTTTCTCTTTCACTAAAATATGTTAGACACGTGACATGTAGAAAACAATCTCAGGGTAATGCCACCACGCTAGCATTTATTATTCTTATAAAGAAATAAAACATGAGTGTGACTTATCAAGATACATGTAATTTCCCCATTCACAGCACAGCACTCTTCAAAAAAAAAATGATAGTTTTCTGAGATTGGAAATTAGTGCAAGCAGAAGATTCACAAAATTATTATGACCAAAAGGGATTTTTCATAACAACTTTATGTGTTCCCTCAGCTTCACCCTTTTCCCTGCCAGCAATTAAACTTTTCACGCAGTGTATATTTCATATTCTTTATTTCATTGCTTTACTTTTGCATGATTAGGTCCCCAGTCATTTGTGGTTGGTGTTTCTCAGAAGCTGGAAATAACCCTGCTTCTGTTTTATATCCTAACTTCTAGAAAAGTTCACCCATCTGTGGCTTCAATTTCCAGCCACGTACCAATGATTTCCCCACTAATCCCTCTGAGTTCTAACATCTAGACCTTTCCTGTTGATTGTAGTATAAATAACCTGTTTTTTTTTTCCCACTCTCGATATGTTTGTCTCAAATACACCTCACACTACCTAGATATAAAGTCAACCAGTTCCTTCAAATTTGCCATGTTCTAGTGTTCCTGTCTGGAGTGTTGGACTTCCATTCACTGGAATAAAAATACAAAAAAAAAAGTAGGGTGGGAAAAGGATTTGTTCGGCTTACATCCACCATTTAGGGATGTCAGGGGAAGAACACAAGGCAGTGACTTAGCGGCAGGAACTGAAGCAAAGACCATGGAGGAATGCTGCTTACTGACTTGTTTGCCGTGGGTTTCTCAGCCTGCTTTGTTACAACCCAGTACCATCTGCGCAAGGAAGGCACTACTCACAGTGGCCTTGGGCCTTCCCACATCAGTCATTAATCAAGAAAGTGGCCCGAGGATATGCCCATCCTAGGCCAGTGTAATAAAGGCAATTCCTCAATTGAGAGTCTCCCTTCCTAAGTGATTCTCATTTGGGTCAGCTGACCTCTTGATTCAGAATATCACATAAGCATCCCTGCTAGTCTCTGCTTCTCTCTAAAGCTTTGCAAACCCGGCCTCCAACCCCTGCCCCTCTCTCAACACTCCCATGGTACAAGCTCTCCCAACAGGTCATTAAGCCCTAAAGACTCAGAGGCCTTTCCTAACACAAAGCTCTCAAAGCCTTCCATGGTAGTCCCAAGAAAAATGATCAGGTCTGTCACAGAAACATCCCACTCGCTGTTACCAAAGTCTGCATTGTTTAGGCTTTTGTTGCCGGGAGTGGGGAATAAAACCAGCATGGAAGAGGAAATTATTTAACTTACAGGTTATTGTCAGTGGAGGGGTACAGAGAACTGGCAAAAACATTTTTGGAAGGAACTAAAGCAGAAAGCATGGGAAAATAGACTTACTGAGTTGATGTTCCATAGCTTGGTCAGCTTGATGTGTTACACAGCCCAAGACTACCTGGCCAAGGATGGCATTGCCTACAGCGGGATAGACCCTCCCAAATTATTATTAGTCCAGTAGTAAATGACCACCCACCCACCCACATTCCTATAGGTCAGTGTGATAGAGGCCGTTCCTCAACTGATTTGATTGTTCCCTCTTCCCAGGTGACTCTAGTTTTTGTCAAGTTGACAGAAACGAACCAGCCTACTGTCTTAAGGGAATTATCATTCATTCAAGTATCAAGCCCACCAGTCAGGGAAGTATCCTGGTCAAAATGCTAGTGCCTTTTTTCAAATTTAGCTTTTATTAAATCCACACAGCCATTTCATCAACACAAGCAGCCACTCATGCTTCCTAACTATCTTACATCAGTTTACTTCTCTCTCTCTCTTCTGTCAACCACCAGTCCAAACTGCCAAGATCTTTCCTTCTTCTAAATAAGGGTTTGATGGCTACTCCAATTATCTTCCATAATGTAAAATATATAATATATCGGATGGAATTGTTTAGACCACCATGAAGGAAGAGAAAGAAAATCTTACATTAGTTTCTAAATTCCCTCTACAAACGATGGTAATTACTTAAATACGCAACAGGAACGTGTACACACATCATATTGTTTTCATTAATCATTAATAGTCACCATCCCCTGGCTGGGCACATTCTATATCACCATTAGCCGTCAGTGCCTCCTATCTGGTTGGATACGTAGGCTGAAGAGCAGTAGGGTACTTGTACACCCATCTTACACCCGCTTTGCGTCCGCCTTTCCAAAACGGGGGCTCCCCGTCTGAATTTTCTCAGTCATTTTCTTCCAAATGACCTTGGGATCATCTGAAAGCCTGGGGAAGCCCCGATGTGCATCTCCAATGCGGGTGAGAAAGTCTGTGGTATGAAGGTGTTCGTCTATTTTCTCTTGGAGCAGAAGCGACTCCAGCAGAGTCTTCCTGCGCTTCAGGAAGTCAGACTGAGCCAGCTCTGCCCTTTTGCTGTTGCAACTGGGACACTGCGAAGGAACATGCTGCTTAAGGGCCCCTATGTGCGCTAGAGTTGCCCTCGTGTTCTTCAAATAGATTCTGCTCAGCAGTTCGTCAGGAACAGTGCAATTGGAAGCGTCTACATCTGAAGTCTCTGCAACCCGTCTGAGCGGCAGCCTTTTGTGCCTGGGGCTTTTCTTTGCTCTTGAATCCTCTCTCTGGTGGATCAGGTTTACTTTAACAGAACAAAAAGACTGGAGGGCATTCAGTTCTTCGGTGGATGCCCCAGGAGTTTCTGTTGGGAGTCTACTGTCGGGTTGGTATCTTTCCGAATTAATTCCTTTGCCCTTGATGTGGTTGAGCCACTTTTCACTCAGCCTATGTTCTTCCTTCTGTAAGAATGAACGTTCTGGCAGCTCGTCTTGTTCTTCTGAACTTGTAGTCGGCTTCCCAGTCTCCAGTGAGCTCTCAGAGTTGTAGGAACAGGACTGCTCTTCCCCGAAGGAGCTGAGGGAACCAGAACTCACTACCTCATCAGTATAGGACCTGAGGATCTCTTCAGAAAGCTGAGTAGCGCAGACGTCCCTCTGGGCCGAGCCTCCTTGCTCTTCGGAGTCCCCCGGCTCTTGAGTAGATGGCCATCCCATTGCCCCAGACTCTGTTCGTCATCTGCTTTGTTCTGGTCAGAAATGGGCCTGGAATCAATAAAGATGAGCCCACAGGGCAAGATCTTAGGTGTCTTTGGGCGCCGCCGGTCAAGACTTCCGGGTACGCCTTTTCTGGTTGCCGTGGCAACGCGCGCCGGTCATGCGCAGTGAGTAGCCTCTGTTGGTTTGCCCGCCCCACCTCCCACCCCCCCCTCCGCTCCTTCCTGGGCGGGCTCGACAGCCCTTTTATTCAGCTCCTAGGCTGCCTGGAATGCTGTTTAGAACACTGTGATTCAAGGGAAAAGACCTCAAACTCCTTTCCCTCCAGATCAGACCGGGCTATGCACACACGTGAGTTCCATAGAGACAGACAGGTGGTCTGTGACAAAAGAAATAGTGCGGCTTGCCTCAGGAAGACAGTTTTCACAGAAAGTGCTCGCTAGGGTATGCAACAAAAATATTCCTGTCTTAGAGTCAAGGGAGAAGCTGTTCGCATTCATGCCGTAGGATGAAAACAGAAGTACGGGCATAAAATACATGGTAGGGCCCATGTGCAGTCACTCCAGGGTTCCGAAGACTTTGCCGTTTCCCCAAACCGCGACAGTCTTAGGTGTTGTCCCCTCCACCTGCCAGGTCAGTGCCCTCCTCTCTGTATGCCTTGCTACATGAGTATTACTCCTTTAAGTCACGTTTCCAAAGGAAGGGCTTCCCAGTTCTTTTCTGGGTGCAGTGCAGCTGAGTCTTTGGAGTTGAAGGCTACAGAGGCAACAGCTCAAGAATTCACTGGTAGCATGCATAAGGACTGGTGTTGGATATGGATTTACGCAGGGGCAGTGGGTTTTGTGGCATACATAATTCCAGTTTAAGAAAGTCCAGGTACCCTCCTCTGCAGTCTTCAAACATAGGTAGCCCTTTACCCATGTTACATTACTTTATTCAGGCCTTTTAAACGACATTCTCGCAGACCTAGATAGCCTGGCATATTAAGGCCATGCTAGCAAGCTTGATGATAAGCCTGAGACATACACATGGCAAAAAGAGAAGAAAATGGATTCCCAAACTCGTTATATTCCCTCTGTCCTCCCTCACACCCCTTCCCCTTTGTCTTCACCCACTGACTTACTTTAGAAAGGTCAAGTGTCTGAAATATTCAAAGATCATCCGAGAAATGGGACCAGCCTTCTTTTAAAGATAAGGACTTTCCAAATTCCTTTATTTCCCCCAGCCCAATTAAGAGCAGACAGATAATTGTGTATCTAAGGGATTTCTAACAGAAATAACATTTTTATTTTAAATTTTTATTTCAAAACTCTCCCTCATTCTCCCATTCATATTTCCATGCAATTCATCCTTTCCTCCCCTTGAACAAGGACTTTATCTTAATTACAAGGCACCCTGTAATTGTTTCCATGTGCTAAACACCCAGACTAACCTGGGTTTTCTATTTTTCAATAATGTTGTATATTTATCTCAGTTTAAAAGAGGAATAGCTTTATCTCTGAAGCAGAAAATCTGAATAGAGAATTATAAAATTAATCAATTTCTTTATAAAAGCTGTGGGCATCTTAACATCTTAATAACTTGCTTAAGGAAGAAGAATAGCTACAATATGCTATCACTGTCAGATAATATTCAGGAGGATAGAGGTCAAGGCTTGAGTTGTAAAAATAGGAGCTGTCCTTTATGTGAATCGCTTTTCAACTGGATTGCAAACTGAAGTCCCAGGGTATCTCTGTTTGAAAATCCCTGTCCCTATTAGTTTTTCTCAGTCCGTAAACCAGAGGGAAGATGTAGCCATTGACTTTCACATGTGAGAATCATCAGGGCCAAGTGTACAAAGTTCCAACTGTTCTGTAGCGGTGGCAGTGACACATTCTGTGTTTCTCAGAGATTAGGAAGAAAGTGTGAACAAGCAGAATGTGGCAGATTGTTATTTTCTAATTGAGCATTTCAAGTGAGTCAAAAAAAAAAAGAAAGAAAGAAAGCACAGAGTGAAAGGGCAATAAGGAGTTGCAGCCTCCCATTCTATCCCAAACCCTCTTCATACACAACTAAGGGACATAGATGACTTCCGCTGGCTTTACCAAACACAAGCTCAGTCAGGAGTCACGGGAGTAAAACACAGTAAGACGCACTCAACATTTCTTGTTTTTAATCTGGAAATGAAAAAAAAAAATCACTCATGGAATTGACAGAAGGAAAATATTTATGTAAGTTCCAGAAAGTTCAATAAATAGTAGTTCAGGGTCTCAATAATTATATTACAGAATTATTTATACTTAAACTGACTTATATACAAACCTCAGAATCATGTCTTCAGATTTATACAAACAACTCTTACTAAATGTACAAAGAAATGTTGCATTTTTCATTTCTCTGAATTAATGTCATTCCCCCTTACAAGATCATCTCTATGTTGGTGGCAATGGAAAACTACTGACTTGAGACTCAGTGTCATTCGAGACAGTCTCACATTTGCCAGTCTGACTAGCAAATATTCAGCAAATGTTAAATCTTGCCCCCCCATCTTCCTTCCCCCCCCTCACCTTTCCTCCTTTCCCCTCTCCCTAAATGGGAGCTATAAAGGAGAACCATGTTCTCAGGGCATTTTACACAAGGTTTCTCCCACATTGATGTCCTGTCCTTATCATTATCTTGACTAGATATAGTTTCAAAAATAATTAATTTAGCCGGGCGATGGTGGCGCACGCCTTTAATCCCAGCACTCGGGAGGCAGAGGCAGGCAGATCTCTGTGAGTTCGAGACCAGCCTGGTCTACAGAGCTAGTTCCAAGACAGGCTCCAAAGCCACAGAGAAACCCTGTCTCGAAAAACCAAAAAAAAAAAAATAATAATTTATCATTTAGTTTGATTTGAGAAAGAGAAAGCAGTATACATTGCTACACACTTTTTACACTGTTTACTGCTTAAAAGTATATTCAAGGTGTCACCCAGAAGCAGCATACAGATACCCTTCCCTTTTCTCTCAATAATTACTTTGTTTCCCATTGTAAGAAATTACTATATTCTGATGGAAAGTTTCTTATTGTTCTTTGCATCTCTGGCAATGTGTATCCAAGATGATCCCTAATAGTGAGATTACTGTTGTGAACACTAAAGATACATGTAGTTTTCCAATTGCTCTAGGTAAGGAGTATCATTTTGGCATTTCAGCCTAAAACTATAAAAAGACCTATTCCAGAGCGTGGCTCCTGGGTCATTTATTCAATTTCGTGGGATTTTGTCAATTTGCATGTCTTTAATTTTATCTTGATGCAATGTGAAATTGAAGCTGTGTTTTTATTAGTGAAGTTTAGCAGACTTTTATACACATAAGGATCATTTATACTTTTCATGTGTATATTGTCATTAATTTCAGTGGGTGGATGCTGCTTCATTTCCCAGCCAACCAGATCCAAAATAATTACAGAAACTGTGTTAATTAAAACACTGCTTGGCCAATTACTTAGGCATATTGCTAGCTAGCTCTTATATCTTAACCCATCTCTATTAATCTATGTATCACCATGAGGTCATGGCCTACCAGCAAGGTTCGAGGGTGTGTCTGTCTCCTCTGGTGGCTACATGGTTTCTCACCAACTCTGCCTACTTTCTCCCAGCATAGTCCACCCACCCCCCAGCTCTATCCTACCCTATCACAGGTCAAAGCAGCTCCCTTATTCAATAACCAATAAAAGCAACACATATACAGAAGGACTTCCCATACCACATTTCTTCTACCCATTTTAGTTTAGCACTTTTATTTTTACTTTTCTGTTATTTTAAAGTATTCAAAACCACCTTTTTTTGTTGAAATTGTGATTTTTTTTTTGTGGCCTAAGTCCTTTTATTTACTTATGCTGTTTATTGCCACTAAACAGTTTTCATTTTATATCAAAATGTTCAGTCTTTTCCCAAGTTTGTTCTTAGATTGTGCTAGGCTTTGATAGTTCTAGTCATCATATTTAATTGGCTTCATTTTGTTGGTGCACAGTTCTCCGGATTTTTAACACATGAAACCACAAGCAGATACATGCAAACATCTTCAGACTCTGGATGCAAAACATCTTTCTTGTTCCATCTCCTTTGCATTCTCAAGTCGCCCGTGTTATATGTAACAAGTTCTTTCTGTTGCCTTTTTTCCTATGAGTTTTAGATATACAATCACATCCGCAAGTTAGACAGGCCACTTGGGTTTAGATCCGTAAAGATGTTTTGATTTATTTTGTTTTGAGAGTTGGAGGTTGCCTCTGGCTCCTCCAGGATTTTAACAAACTGTGTCACCATGCTGTGCTAGTCACCTCTGTCACCTCTGATTACATTGTCTCATCTAGTTTCACTGAGGATTACCTCAAAGGGTAAGAGACTTATTTTTGAACTTAGAAAGCATCCCCATTTTCTAAATGAGATATGATCTTTGCTCTTATTTGTAAAATTTATAGACAATGTCTTGTTTAGAAATGCTTCGACATTTGTAAACAAGGAGTCACTTTACAAAATTATCCTATAAAATACTACTGCAAAATTTTGATAGTGTATATAGATAAATAACTAGACTTTCAGAAAAACGTGTAAATTAATAAAAGCTCTCCAACGAAAACTGTTACGTTCCTCATCTATGTTGGTTTAATATTTCCAGTGCATCATTTACTTTTCCCAGATTTACATTTTTAAAGCTAAGATTAAGGGCTGGGAGTCTTCCTCAGTAGAAGACCACCCTCATATGCATCCCTATGTCTACTGTTCAGCATCAGAGAGAATACAAATAATTTTAAGTAAAATTCTGAAAAGGTAGCAGGTTATTATTTTTGCATCATTCTTAAATACGTGATGCTCAATTTTAAAGTAAATATTTAGAAACAAATTTGCCTCCCTGTTACTGTTATACCTTAAACTAACAAAGAAAATGTTGAGCCCAGGCATTTTGAATGTCCCAGTCTTCTATTTTTTATGAGATAACAACGATACATAATTAATAATTTGACTTAACTTCATAATTTTAACTCTTTCGTTTTCTTTCAGTTAAAAAAAAAAAAACAGAAACCACCATCACACTGAAATTGGACAAGGCAAACCAATGACTGTCTCAGTCTTAAGAAAAACTAAAAATAATTT